ATGGCTTAAGGAGACCTCCCTTGTATTTGGGGGTATTCCTTGCTTGCCATCGACTAGGGTTAGGCACCCAGAAAGGTAGGCATCTCAAAACAATCCCCACATGGTAGAAATTGTAAAAACCCAAGACTGAACAGAAATAGAACTCTCCAAAAGGAAACTAGCAAACAAGCAATTGTCACTCACTGCCACTGCGCAGCTTGTCCATGCATCCCTCCCCTTTTCAGGAGGGGAGGGGAAAGCTCCGGATCCATGCGCCGGTTCCTCACACCTTGGTTCGTGGCTGAAGTGCTCTGGGGGCGGATGTCGCTCTGGCTTCAGTTTCTTGCTGAATTTTGTGCCCTTGGGGTTTTCCTGCTGTTTGTCACAGTGGTCAGGAGTATAATACAGTACTGAGGGCTGGATGCGCTTGGGGCTTCTTCCCTAAGTATCCTGTGAGTACTACCCTTGGGTTCTAGGGTTGCCTTCCCTGATGCTCTCAGGTTTACTTCTGTAGGGGTTCTTGATCTTGAGGTTATCTTGAGATGATTTCGGGGCTTTTAGTGTCCCCGCGGCCCGGTCCTCGACCAGGCCTCCACCCCCAGGAAGCAGCCTGTGACAGCTGACTAACACCCAGGTACCTATTTTACTGCTAGGTAACAGGGGCATAGGGTGAAAGAAACTCTGCCCATTGTTTCTCGCCGGCGCCTGGGATCGAACCCAGGACCACAGGATCACAAGTCCAGTGTGCTGTCCGCTCGGCCGACCGACCGGTTGCTGCTGTTCAGCAGTTGCCCTGCCCTTGGGGCCAGCTGGGGTTTACTGGCCTTTGGTCTTCGATAGGAAGTAGTACTGTTACTGATTTGGGGCGCAAGGTGCTGCTCATCATACCTACCAACATGGCAGTTGTGTTTCCTGTTCCTCCTGTTGTGGTTGTGCTTTTGTGTTTTTTTCCTCTTCTGTTTGCTTTGAGGAGGGCTGCCTGGTTTGACTATTAGGGCCACCTAAGGTATTTTGGTGGCCCTTCTCTAGGCCTCTGTGCTTGTAAACCCCTCAGGGGTCCATTTAAAGCCCTATTTCCCCCTTGTTGACATTCTTATTTCGGTTCAACCAGCTTTACAGCACCATTGCCGGGGCTTCCCATAGGCTGAACCACCTACAGGCCTTGGAAAACCTATTTGGGAATTGGCAGACCCATGGATGCATCTTCCCAGTCCCATCTCGCCTTGTGTGAGTTTGAAGGTTGTTCGTTGCCCTTGTCTCAGGGTGACAGTCGCCTATTTTGCCTCCGTCATGCTGCATGTTGGGTCAGTGACACGTATGACACGGAGATTTGCGAGAATTGTTCACAGCTTGTGCTCCAACTTACCCATTCTTTTTCAGAAGTTCTTAAGGGTCAGGCGGCATCTGCGTTGCAACATAGGTTTTGGTTGTTGCAACGTGCTAGGTTGGTTGCCCACTCGAATACTCCAGGGCTGCCCCGTTTTGGTTTTAGGGACCTGGGCCTGTGGGTATTGGTCGCTTCAACCTTGGCTACGTCCGCGCCTTCAGGTCCTTCCTTATTGGGCGGGGTTGCACTTCTCCTCCCCCACTGCTGCTGGCTTCCAAACGTCTGAGGGTTTCGGAGTCAGGGTGGATTTAGTTGATGAGACTCGGGCAGCTTCGGGGGTCGCCCCTTTCGAGACGGAAATGGAGGCATTTGAGCCTGTTCCTCCTGCTGAGGCTTCTGGGTCCGACCAGCAAGCCCTCGCTTCTTTGCTGCTTTTCCCCCAGGTCTTTGCCTTTTATTTAGGGGTGGAGGGCATGGAGAACAGCTCTGCCCCAGAGCCTGATGTGAGGCAGGGAGACTCCTCTCCTGGGACTGGAGAGGAGTCGCCCTGGGGGGCTTGTACCCCCTTTGATCCTGCCTGGGTTTTGGTGCCCTTGTCGCAGGGTTTGTTGTTACAGGGGGAGAGGTTTTCTTGCCCACCTTTTCTGTACGAGTTTGATTTGGGATTAACTCCACCCTGTGTTCAGTTCCGGGTTCCCCAAGGTGCCTCGGCTCCTTCCTTCCAGAGGTTTTCTGCCTCTCGCGTCCTGCCCAAGGAGGTTCAGGTGGCTCTTGCGGCTTACCTCCTGTGAGACCCAGAGTATACCTCTATGCTGAATCCGTCCTCCTTTGAGTACGGTTCTTCATCCCCGTATTGGGTGTGTTATGAGGTTCCTTATTTTTCCTCAGGAAGCATGGCACAGGTTTTGTTGCACTCACACGCTTGAATGACGGGAGGCTACTTCCATTTTGCATTTTTACCTGGAGGGCGATTTGGAACTCTTCAATGCGTGCCTTTTTGCCCTTATGTTCTTCGGGATGTTGGCCTTCAGCAGCTGCACATGCAGGTCTCCACTCTTTTGGCTACTTTGGTTGCTGGTTGCTGCGAACTTTTGTGCCCGCGGGCATTTGGCCTTGGTCTTGCGGTTCTTTTCACTTCTAGAGTTGTCCTCGAACTGGCTTGGGGAGGTCGTGGAGGCGTTGAGTACCGGGCCTTCGTCTGGAGCATTGGCCTCGGTAGTCAGGGTGTTTGCTGCGCTGTTGAAGCTGTTTGCGCCGATCCTCTGGAATGTGGTGTGTCAGTAATTTGCCTCTCGCCTCACTTGTTGTCAGGCCATCCTTGCTCTCTCCTTGGACTCCGTTCGAGTTCTTCACACTCTTGTCCGTTATTGTTTGCTGAGAGTGCTGCGACTCGGTTTCTGCAGGCAGCTTTGTCTAGTTGCTATCCTCTATCAGATTTGTTGGTCATTCGGGGTGGCCTTTCTCCGGCCTCTTGGAAGGGTCGTGCCAGAGCTCGGGGTTCTAGTTGAGGTGGGCCTTTGGTGCCAGTTTCTGAGCCAGTGCCTCCTTTGGAACTGGTGTCATCTAGTCAGTGCACTGCTTGCTCTTTTTGTAGGCCGGCTTCTAGTAAGGGGTGTTGGCTCTTTCGCGGCTCGCCCCGTTGACGAGACGCTTGAGGAAAGGCTCACTCTGTTTGCTCACGTTTGGTCCCACGATTCGTGGACTTTTTGGGTCGTGTCCTTTTTGGCCGTGTGGTGGTGTTGGACAGCTCCTCCCCCTTTGGGTGTTCAAGGCTGGCGGGGGCAGGCTTCTTCCCCTTCGCTCAATCGGGTCACCCTGGATTGGGTGCACTTGGGTGTGGACGAACCAGCTTTGTCCGACAGGTGGGTTTCCCGCCTGTTTTCCGTACCGGAACGGAACTGTGCGGATCATCGTTTCATTCTGGACTTGCCCTGTCTGAACTGTTAGATTCCTTGCCCCTCCTTTCGGATGACCACTTTGTCCCAAGTCCAACTCCTCTTGGAGCTGGGTTCCTGGATGGTGTCTCTGGACCTCTGGGATGCATATTGGCACGTCCCTTATTCATTTGGGATTCAGGGACTGGCTCGGTTTCATTGTGGGGCGGCGTGCTTACTGCTTTCGTTGCCTTCCGTTTGGCTTGAATTTGGCACATCGCGTTTTCATGCATCTTACCCAGGTTGTGGTGGCTCGTCTGCTTCTGCTATGGGTTCGGGTTTTGTCCTACCTCAACGATTGGCTGATGTGGGTTCCCAGCCGGTCTGCTCGCCAGGGGGTTTGGTTCTATCCCAGCTCACCGGGTTCGGGTTCCTGGTGAACTGGAGGAAGTCCCATCTGGTTCCGTCCGAGGTCAGGGCCCAGCCAGGTCGAAACAACGACCTGGCTGGGCCCTTGTGTAGGACTCTTGGACTGCTTCTGTGTCTGTCTCCCTTCTGTGGCATTGCTGTGGCTGCAGTCCCACCTTCAGCTGTTTCTGTCTGAGAGGGCCAGGTTCTGGCTCTGGTTCCCGGTAGGCAGGACTCCATTGACTGAATCCCCAGACTAATATCTGGGGAGCATATTAGTCCTATAGCCCCAGGGAGTCTCTGGGGCTCACTCAGAAAATGGCATTTCTTTACATTCAATGCTGGTTTTTCTGGGCTTATGCCTCTCCACTCCATGAGAGGGAAAGTGGGCAACGACAATGAATGCATATATAAATATTTATAATGTACTTACCTATTTTTGCCTATAGAAAGTGAGAGCTTAATTTATGCTTCCTCATAGGAATTAGAACTTTGTGCATTTATATTTTCTAAAACTCAAAATTTTTCATACTTCCTCTTAAAACTTTGTATTAAGGTTGCTTTCACAATAACTGCTTTCAGTTTATTCCATTTGTACCTACACTACATATAAATATTTTCTTACATTCCTCATTTGTTTCCATTTTCATGTGTCTTCCTTGTCTGGTAAAAGACTGTCTCTGTTCACCTCATTCATACTATTCAGTTTGTTGTATGTTGTGATTGTGTCTGTGGTGCTTCTCTCTTCTTGAGTTGCCCTTAACCTGTCTCCATTGCTTAGTGCCTTTATATCTGGTACCAATTTTATTGCAAACCTCTGAACTGGTCTCAATTGTCTTTTTATGCTTTACAGATGGGAATTCCATGCCAGTGCAGCATACAGTGTTCTAGAATTAGTGAAACATAAACTGTGTGTGTATTGTTCTGAAAGAGTCCTCATTCTGGTCTTTAAAGACTGTTTTCCAATCTCTCACACATTGCTGTAGTTATTTTATAATGTGCGGTGTCTAGCATTAAAGCTGCTATTATGATTGTTCTCTTTAATTTCTTTAATCCTCTCTTTCAGGCTTTATTGTTCCTTTTGTGACAGTTCAGCAGCTTAAGGGTTAATTCTTTCACTGTTTTATTCCCTCTTTGGTCTGATAAAGATAAAATAAGATTCAGATCAAACTCCAGTAGTCATTTGTCGGCCCATTCTTGAACCTTGTATAGTCCTCACCCTCTTCATTAGTTTACATTGTATGCAAACATTGACATGATGGAGCTCATTTCCTTGGGTGACAGTTTTCCCAAGTTCTATGTATTTTCTGTTGTTCATATTACAGTATGTCACAACTAAAATATTAAAATGTTAAGGAAAATAAAAGATGATAGGTTTTGATCTTGTCATTCATGAGTTTTCTGTATTTTAGCCCCATGCAGTATATGCGAAGGATGTGTTGGACATCGAGCAATTTAGTACTGTGAAGGGTGTCAACCTTGATGCTACAGATGACTCATTTTACTCCAAATTCAACACTGGGTCTGTCTCAATTCCTTGGCAACAGGAGGTAATTATCAGTTTTATTTAAGAGGGAGTAAGTTTCTTCAGTACGATACTAAGGCTGACAGCAAAATGAATAATACAAGTGAATCAAGAAGTTTATGACAAGTGTGTGAGGGCATGTGATGAGATGACATAACATATCTGCAATGTCCAATAAGGATATACTTGATCTTTCAGGCACAACCTTATTAATTTAATTGAGTCTAGCATGTAGAACATCCTAAGCAAGGAATTATGGAATTTCTTGACTTGTTTCTCTTATGATGATGAGATGATTGGGTAGTTATGAATATTAATGCAGAAAATGGTATTTACATAAGCCTCTTGAAATTTAATATTATACATGTACATGGCCAGGATGACCCAGGAACCTCATAATGCACCCAGTATGGGGAAGAGAAACCGAACTCAAAAGAGGCCGGGTCCAGAATAGAGGTGAAATCTGGGTCTCGCAGAAGGTAAGCACCAAGTTCCTTCCGAACCTCCGCAGAGGAACTCAGAGAGGTAGAAAATCTCCGGAAAGATGAATCCGAAGAACCCAAAGGAACCTGGAAACAAACCTGGGGGTGGTTTTGGGCTGGGGTTTGGGAGTCGCCCCCAAATCAAATTCGTACAGGGAAGGAAGATACGAAAACCCCGAATGCTGCAACAACAACCCCCTGCCCCAAATACACCAAAGCCCAGGCAGTGTCAAACAGGGGCCCAAGAGCCCCAAGGCGACTCCCCCCCTCCCCCTGTGCTCTGAGAACCCCCAACACAAGCCCTGGGGGCAGAATCCACATCCACGCCCACCACCCCCTAAAGAAAATGCAGAGTCCAAGGGAAAAGGGAGGATGCACAAGCCTCGGGGGTGCCGATCAGGCTCGGTTGCCTCCATATCAGATGATGATGCCCCCGAAGCCTCTCAAGTCTCGTCCTGAGCTGAACCTCGCCCCAACTCCGAAACCCTAAGACATTTTTGAACCGGGAACAGGGAAGGTGGGGGGGGGGGGGGAGGAGGGAGCAGGGCTAGCAAAGTCGAAGCGACTAACACCCCCAATTCCGGGTCCCTAAAACTAAAACGGAGCAGCTCCAGGGCATCCGAGCAGGCCACTAACTGGGCGCGTTAGTGGGGGGGGGGGGGAAACTGCAACGCAGTCGCTGCTTGACCCCTAAGGTCTTCCGAAGAAGAACGGATAAGATGGAGGACAAGTGGGAAACAGGTCCTGCACGACTCCAAATCATAAGTGTCACCGATCCAACAAGCAGCATGACAGGCAGAACAGATGGTTGTCTTGGGTTCTCTTGGGCTCTCTTGGGTTCAACACGTTTCCTCGTGCACTTGATGTGGTCTTGTTACGACGTGTGATGGTGGACGTGCAGCCTATTGTACATAGTGTATAGTCACCCTTGTTTTTTCCAAAGTAAATATTAAGTTTGTTTATTTTTGTGTGTAAGCCAAGTTTTCAGGAATTATTATTTTATGATTGTTATTATAAGTACAGTAAAGTATTTTAATTATTTATGCTTATTGTTTACTCCAACAACTGTCACACCACAAAGGACTCTAGCAGTTTTATTTACTTTTTTTATTTAATGTGCGTACGGCAAACTACAGCTGCCAGATATTTGCTACGCCACCTACAACACGTCACACTGATGCTCTAGACTAATATGGTGGATATCGTCTGATAGCTGCAGGGAGACAATAGGGCTTCCCGCAGAAAATGTATTGGAAAGAGTGTAAAATTAGAAAGCTTTTAGTGAAAACAAGGAAAAGTAAAGTATAGTTCTTAACCCTTAGATAGCGGTTAGCGTCAATTGTTTATTTACAGGGTAATGCAGTTATCATCATATAAAGATTTAAATATTATTGCCTGGGTTTTGACATGTATGATGCGAATATGGATATAAAAGCTCCGGATGTAAACAAAGGAAAAAAAGTGATTGTTTAATCAGTGAAACCTCGTAGGATAAAACGGGAAGCGTCAGCATAGTCGAGCACCCAGCGTTGACAAGTGCCAGATGCAATGTTGCAGAGTGCCTCAACCCAGTGAAACAATACATATTCACTTTCTTTTGTGTTTTCTTACATTCTGCACACAAATTAATAATTCTATAATGAAAAATTATTTGTTGGAATTTTTAAATTTTGTGCATAGGCATGTATAACCATTTTTCCATCGCTGCTGTTTAAGGGTTAAAGATTATAATAGTCATGTTTGTTAATTTAGTTTTTAAGTGAATGATTTTGGGGAATTATTTTGGTTAAAAGTACACGACAGGATAGAATGGGGAAGAGAAAATGTGAAACAAATTGATGCTCCAATGAAATACTGATGAAAGAAAGTAATGAATAGTCAAAATTGTTAGCTTTAGAATATAGTGTACTTCATATGGGTGAAGAGACGGTAATGAAGATTTTGTAGTGCAAGCAATTATAGAAGATTCCTTAGAACTGTCTCATTGAGATTAAGGCCACTGATGTCTTCCTTATTAAGCTTTTTCATCTTTTACATTTATATTAATTATAAATGGTTTTCCACTTGCAGATGATAGAAACCAAGTGTTTTGAGGAGCTTAACCAATTTGGACCCAACAACACACCAACTAATGACCTCAGATTAGACCTGCCTCCTCCTGAAGATAGCAAGAGTTGCTTCCCCTTCCGACGACGGGTATGGTGCAGCTCTGCTGTTTCATCTTGAACATGACCGGAGGCTTTCCTCACCTCACTTAGTTTTAGTTAAGTGAATGCCGTTATATATGTGCAAGTATATAGTTAGTGCTTCACTTGCATTGATAAAAACTAACCAGTAGTAGTCTAGTGCTTGGCATTGATTATGGGTGGTTATGGGGGGGAACTATGGTTGATGTTGAGTACCTTAGTTTATATTCAGAATGTGTGGAAGTGAATAAGAATTGATACTCCTGCTGTAACATTAATTATGCATGAGTAGGATAAATGAAGGAAAGGGGAAAGCCTTCATGTAAGTTGAAGTGGTAACCAACTATTGAATATACAATTATAATAAGTGACAAATATGTATTTATAGTTAGTGACCTATTATTTTTGTCAGTTATCTATCCAAAAGGTCAAGCTGTCAGTCTCATGCCATGGATAATACTGTTCACAGTTTTTTTTAGAATTCTCAATAATCTGACATGCATTCATCCACAAGAATTTTTGCCACAACAGTTTCTGCAGTTGTTGACCATGAGCCTATCTTGAGCCATGGCAGTGTGTGTGTTATGGTGTTCCAGTTATTTAGTCATATATCGTACTCTTAGATTAATGTAAAAATATATTAAGCATTCCCCTCAGTATGTTGGCTAACAATGGTGCTAATGTGTTGGTGATGACTGACAAGTTTTAACTATTGAACAAAATATGACACATAATTAAACATGCTTGTCTTTCACTCTCTCGGGAATAAGATCTGGCTTTTTTGGTCCTGACTCCTAGTTATTGATACCTGGTGCTTTTAATGTCTTTTGATATTCTTGCTAACTGTTGTATTTGTTCTTGAAGCTTTGGATAGTTGTGACATTCACAACATTCATACGGCTTGACCTAGGATAGTCATGTAGCACTTAGTAGCCCTTAACATGTGGCTACTGAAAAGTGGTTATTCCCATCTATGCAAAAAAATATAAAATAAAAAAAATTCCCAAAACTATTTTACTTATAGAATTATTTATTTGTATGCAAAATGTTAGAAAAACTGAAAAAACTAAATATTTACTTGGATGAAAATAATTGTAACTTAAACAATAGGCTTTATTAATTTTAATATGTATTCACTCTCCTGAAAATGCAGGTGTCTGTTCCATTGACCTGAGGTTGAAAGTACAATATTTGACATGTAAAAGGAATGGTGGGGTATATATAAAGTACTAGTTGGGTGAAGTAAGTGGGAGAAAGTATTGTACACAGAATGTAGTGGGAATGAAGGATGAATGTATGGGAATGGGCAAAGAGTTATGGTCCTAGAAAAGGGAAATGCATCAAGTTGTACAAAGATTAGTTTTAAAATATAGTGTGTGTCCCCAAGCATAGAATAGAGATGCATAGCTGGAACAGTACAAAAAATATCAATGAGCACTCTATTCTTGTATGTATACATTTTGCCATACCAGATCATACAAACCTACATCAACCCTTCAATTGATATCAATTCTAATTAGCCCAGAAATGTGTTCATTTGTTATGCTTTAATTTTTCATAAATGCATTAATTTTGTATGTTTATATACCTACTATACAGATATGGTGCACTTAGTATGAGGATGAGTTGCAATAAGATTATAGAATGGTGCTACTGCTTCTGGCTAGAGATACCTGTACATGTTCTTCCTATAAGGTTGGTTCTACTCATAGTCATTCTTCCCACATTGCAGCGTCGGAGGTAGCTAGATGAGGGTTGGAAAGGCAAGAATCATCATCATCAAGAGCACAGTCATTATCTCAAACTTCTGCTGTTCACTGTTGAACATGGCAAATTCAGAATCAAGTATTAACAAGTTCGTCATCCATGTTCCCTTTGAGCATCTGAAGCTACCATGAATCCATTTAGTGTGGAGTTCATCCTCATTCAAGAAGATCACCTTTCATAAGTCAGCCATAAAGAAGAAGCACGGATGTCATCCTGTTTTTGTCCCTTTTGTGCCAAGTGTTTTATGAAATGCAGATTGTATTAAAGAAACTGCATATTAAGAGCCCAGTTGCATGGAAGTGCAGCGAGTGTCTTACATTGGGACTTTATATTCTGAACTGTAACCATCATTTGGAATTTGAAATGATTTGCTCACACAAATATTAAACATACAATGCATCAACAGGAACATGCACACACATGCAAAAAAAGTGTTTATACATATACATGCACACATGAATGCATGAAAGCATGCATATTAAAAACCTCATGTGTAAATATAGTTCTTATTATGATGACCAAACCACACAAGAACTGCATAGTTCTTATTACATGCCCACTTTAATTTACATACTCATTGTGTGCACGCACGTGCTCGCAATTAAATACATTCATGTATACATATGTACATGTACATACATATGTAAATATATGTGCATGCACATACTGTTTGTATACAATCATATATGCATGCATTCACTTACAAAAAGAACTAAACAAAAAAAAAACAAAAAAAAAAAAGACTACTTCCTTCAGGTGAATAAATACAATTGCATTGTATTTCATGAAACTGGCAATTGTTTTGTGAAAGAAAATCTTACGACAGTGATATAGTGTGTTGCTCATATTTTGCCAGTAATATCATGTGTTTAAGTACAGTACTCTATTTTGAATCAAGGCTTTTGTCTGGAAAAATGAGACTAGTTTTTTGACTGTGGACTATAGTTTTGAGACTTTCGAGATTATGCTGACACTGGACAGCCCGCGCACCGTCCTCGAAGCCACAGAATTTGATTTTTATAAAGTGAAAGTCAATGGTCAGTATTTCATACCATAATTGTGTTGTGCAGTCCATCAAATGGCCCTACACACTCCTTAAGGGATGAATGATGGCATAGTCATCTCAAGTATATTTTTTCCAGTTATCTTAAGGAATGATATTAGTGCTTAGTCATCTCATAAGTATATTTTCTCGTTATCTTAAGAGATGATTGAGGATGAGATCATGCCAAAAGCACATTTTCCCAGTCATTGTTATTTTTATATGCTTTAATTACAATACTTAAAGGATGCATGAGATGAACTTTGGTGGGCCATACAGTATAAGTGAAGCTGGTGGAGTCAGAGTGCACATATTACCCATAATTTCCTAGGTTAATTTGCTTATGATTTATTGTCACTATATATTACCTTCATCTAATTGCTAATGAAAGATTTGTTGGAACTTTTTTGGTTTCAATTTGAATTACTTAAAAATCTTTTGTGCTTTCTCTTGACATTGTTCTATAAAATGACCATTTATATTATGAAGTTAAACTTCAGTGAACTTGGCTGTTGCAAATTGCTAATTATTGTGTTAGAACCTGTGAAGTGCTAATCTAGATTATTATATTTTACTGCCCATTTTTGTATTTTGAACTTTTTAATGTATTTTTCTTGGAATCATTTAATAGAAATGAAGTACTAATTAATATAAGATACCTTCAGCTTGTGTCAAGGGAAAAATATAGTCTAGTACTGATAACATAGCCCATAAATAGGTCAGTCAGTGGTCAGGATAGGTTTATGGATTCTTTTTTACACTTTCAACTGGACATAAACAACAACAAATAGAGCTTAATGTGCATTTCTGAGAATGGTCAAATCAGCTGCTGCTGTGGTCAAGACCACACCATGGTGCCACGCAGATTTCGATTTAAATTTTAGCTCTTCTTCAAGTGTCACATAATTTTGGAGTAGAAAGACAGTGGATAGCATATCTTTGTCCACAATAGAGCGAGACTGCTCGTTGTTACACTAAAGAACAGATCAAACCAGTCGACACCAAGTTCAAATGATCAATGGGTCTTCCAGGATAGCAGGATTTCACTTAACTAGCAAACTATCCAATACACCAAGCACCACCATGTCAGCTGTAACTAGAGTAACAGGGTTGGAGTAGGTGGAAACTATCACTACATACCTGTTATTCACCCACTAAGCATCCAGCTCTGCAAAGGTCAATTCAATTGACAATGAATTTTTTTTATTTGTGTTGGGGGTGGGAGTGGGGGGGGGGCTGCCATTCCAAGCTTCAGTGTTTGTTTCTTGGAGAGCACTTATTGTTTTCCATGTCTGACTTCATCTACCTGCTTCAGCTTAAATACAGGGTTTTCTTTTCTGGATCTGATTGTCAAGGACTAATGGCTTCCAGAGTTTTCTTTGAGATTTATGGTTATCTTTGTGTTGTCAAACTTCTTTTGAATTGAGTCATTAGGTTGTGTCATAGGAACTCTGGCTCTGGCCTAGGCCTCTTGGTGCTAGACTTAATTATATACACTTGGTCCGTACACATTATTTTGTTAGTTGGTTTGGTTAGTGCCATTGCACATCCAGCTACCCAGCCTCTTCCAATGGTTGCACTCTTGCCTAAATGCCCTATGCTGTTGGGTACACAGTTGCCAGTCAGGGCTTTGCTGGAAGTTGATGTTACAGGGATTGCTTCCAACAAAGTTTTGCCTAGTGACCCATGGCCCTACAATTCTTTGCCTAAGAAGGGGGGTCTGGGTTGTCTGTGTTCGAGGCTCTCCGTACTAGTGCTCCAACTTTTCCCCTCTTTCTTTGGAAATGGAAGGTGTCCAGTCTGAGTATTGATTCGACAGGGCCTCTTAGTTTCCCTTTGACATCTCATGGGCGGGGAATATGTTTACTTTCTGTCTCAGTGAGAGTTTGATGAATACTCAGGTGCTTTCTGTTATTCTGCATAGGTACAGTATCCCTATTTCTGACTCCTTTTTGGTAAGGCATATCAGAAATTTTTAATTGTGCCTTCTGCAGTGTGGGAATTGTGTGTCTGAACCAGAGCCGATTTGCTTTCTTGTTGATCCCATTTGTTATATGAAAGGGTGTCGAATGGTTTGATTTTTTTTAGTGTCATAGTGAGCAGTCTCTCCGAGAGGTTGATTGAGAGCTCTGAACTATATTCCACTCCTATATTGTGACAAAACCATTTGGAAAAATTCTTTGCCTCAGTGGGGCCTAGTCAATCAGATGCTGGTGAGTTGTTAGTGACCTGTGTGGACGATGACTTTGGCTAGGAAAGCAACCCATAGATTGCTGAGAAGGGAGCTTTTTAGTCTACTCGATGCCTAATTTTTTGTCTACATTTCACTAGGCTTGGCCATTTCATTTATTTTCGAAGATTAGTACATTCAAGTTTAAAAAAAAATAGGTCTTTTCCTGCTGGAAAAACATTTACAGCCATGCAATGCTGTCAAAGTTTTCAGATGTCAGATGTCAAAGTGTCAGATCAGTTTGTTTTCCAAATTGTGCTAGATTTCTTCCTAAACTTCACAAATTCCTGAAAATGGGGATACTGTATATAATTTTTTTTTATTATTATATTGTTCTAAAGAAGCTTATGACTTTGTATCTTTTTACTTTTTTATATAAATTATAAATTTGCATTATAGATTTTCATCATAAAATCTTGCAATTGAATTAATATTGGCAGACATTTGTTATTTAAGTTACTGTTTCTAGAATCACATGTCTATCAGAACACACTGATTTACAGTTATGCTCCAGACTAAAAGCTAGGATAAGTAATTTGTCATATTGAATAGGCTATGTGCTCTTTAAAAATTAGCACTGTATTTCAAAGTCAACTTTATATTTACATAAACAACTGGTAGTGAAAATGTTATGAGAGGGTATTTGTTTAGCCAGCAATATACTCATACTTAAATTTTAGGCTTCCATTCATTGATTTAAATTTTTACTTTGGAACAGATTAAGCACATTGAATATACAGTATCTGTTAATTGGTATATCAAATTGATTGAAATGTTTTGCTGGACTAATGAATGTATGTGGCAAGTTGTGAGACTGTTGGTCATCGTGTGTTCTTGTTGTGTAGGAAATATTCTCAAATTTTTCTTGGCATCTTTTCCCAGGTTTTAATTCTACTGTCCATAAAAAAAAATATCTAAAGTGGGTGTTTATGGAACTTTTCTGTAGGAAGCTCCTTCGGCTCCCTGGAGTTATCAGGCTAATTTGCGATACATTAGACCGGGGGCTTTATTCAATGGAGTTCAGCCTACCGGGGACCACGAGCCAGAACCTGGCCCCCCTCAGAGAGGCACAGGGAGCAATGGCCCTGGAAAACTCCAAGTGGTTGGGGCTTTCCTTATCTGCCATCGACCAGGGTTAGGCACCCAGAAAGGTAGGTGTAACAAAACAGACCCCACATGGTAAAAAATTTCAACTGAAAACCGAACAGAGGCAGAACTCCCTCAAATCCAAAGGAAACAAGAAAACATCTCACCGCACCACTCTTCTGCCCCCCTCCTTCGGGGAGAGGGGGGGGGGCAACCCGGACCCACCACGCCAGCTGCCCACCTCAGTTCATTGGCTAAAGCGATCCGGGGTGAACATCATCTCTGGCCTCAGTTTCCAAGCGAAACAAGGGTTTCGTGGCCCTTGTTTGGTCTTTGGTAGGAAGTGGTATTGTTGCTGGCTGGGGTATCAAGGTGTTGCGCAGCCAGCTTACCCATGCAGCAGCTGGTTCCTGTTTCCTCTGGGGACGTTGCACTTTTGCAGGTTTTTTTTTTTGTTTTTGTTTTTTTGTTTGCCTGAGAGGGGGGGGGGTCTGCCTGGTGTGGCTATAGGTCCACTTATAATATTTTGGTGGCCCTCCACTAGGGCCCTAGTGATTGTATACGTCGCAGGGGTTTTAGTGTTTTGATCTTCCCCATGTTAGCTTTGGGTTTATCGGTTAACAACACCTTGTCCAGGCTTCCTGTAGCAGTCAGCCTATGGGCTCTGAAAAACGCTGTTGGGGCTTGGTGGACCTATGGATAAATCTTCAGAGTTCCAGCTCACCTCTTGGGAGTTTGTAGGTTGCTGTTTGCCCTTTTCTCAGGGTGACAGTCACTGCTTTTGTCTCCGGCATGCCGCCTGTTGGGTCACCGACATCTTTGTCCTGGAGTCTTGTGAGACATACTCTTTGCTTGTTCTCCTATTGTCCATTCTGCTAGCATTGATATTAGGTTACAGACGGCATTCGCGTTGCATGCTAGGTTTAGGTTGCTGCAAATGCCCTACGCTGGTTTCCCAGCCAGATGCCCCGAGGCTGGCCCGTTTTGGTTATAGGGACCCGGACTTGGAGGAGTTATTCGCGTCATCTTTAGTTCAGTCTATGCTCCCTGGTCCTTCCCCTGTTGTTTGTCCTGCCCCCCTCCCCCCCTGCTTCTGGCTCCCAAACAGGAGGAGTTCGCAGGAGTTCGAGCTGGTTTGGCTGTCACTTCGGAGGGTTGGGGTCTCTTGGGGTTCAATGATCCGGCTCCATTTGGATTGCTTTCCCATGGTTCATAGTCAGATCTGCGGGGGTTCTCTTCGATCATTGGCTCCTTAGGGCTGCATGAACTGCATGAACTTTTTGAACTGCATGAACTGCAGTTACATGAACTGCACGAGAGTCAGGGTTTGGCTCTCCGTGCAGATCATGTCCGGGAAGTATCCAACGACCTGGTGGACGGCATTCCCGGTTCCTTCCTGTTTTTTTGCCGTCCACAAACTGGCCGGTCGATGCCGACTCCTTCGGTTGGTTCTGCTGGACGTACGGGCTCTCGGAGGTGGACCTCTTCGCGTCAGCGTGGTTGGGCGTTGCCCCATATATGAGGCGCCTTTTCCCGACTGCGAAGCTGTCGCGGTTGACACCTGCGACAGGACCAGAGAGTAGTCCTCTTGGCTCCTTGGTGACCAGCTCGGCCTTGATTTCAGGCGCTGCTTGCTCAGTGTCCAAACCTGGGGGTTTTCCCGCGGCTCCGCCTCTTTCAGCAGATTGGACCGGTCTGTTACTTGGCTGGTTCAATCTTCTCGTCAAGTCTTCACTTCTGGTCTTTCTGACTCGGGTCTGTCACCACGTGTATGGTGAGCAGGTGGCTTCTTTGATGGGGTCCCACCTGCATACGTCTTCTCAACTGCTGTATGGAGTTTCCTGGTGGTCCTTCCAGTTTCTCTTGTCCCCTCGTCAGTTTACTCCGGTCTTTGTTCGGGTTTTGTCCTTCCTTTCGTGGTTGTTCCAGGACCATCATCATATGTCGAATACTGTCGCCTCGTATCGTGTGGCGTTGGCGGAGCTACTACGGCTTGCGTTCGGCATTGATGTTACTTCTGAACCGTTCCACAAGCTGTCTCGGGCGTTGTTTCACCTCCGGCCTGCTCATGCGCCACCTGAGCTGTCCTGGTCTTTCGATCGGATGCTTTTGTTTCTCTCTACTCCTCAGTTTGTGGTGGCCCCCTTCGGTTCAGGATTGTTTCTCCAAGGCTCTCTTGTTGATATTGGCCTCTGGGGGTCAGGTCAGGAAGCTTCATTCTCTCCTCCAGCACAGGGGTTTCTGCTCTTTTGGTCCTGGTGATAGGTTTGTTTGTTTGCAGCAACCTGTTCTCGCACTTGCTTATAGTCACTATTTGGCTTACTAATAAGTACATATGTGGTATATTCAAAGTTATATTTTGTTTTCAAGGTACAAACTCTTACTATGGATTTGCCGTATACCAATTTTGATATTAGGAATTTCTTTTTCAGTTTTATTAAGCAATAGAGATTTTATACAAAATTTGACAATATCCTGAGTTACTTTACAATTTATTTAAATATTTCAGTTTTGTTTTATTATTTTTATAAAACTGTAATATCAATATAGGTATAGGGTAAGTACTAATTGTAATTAAGAAGCAATAAGATGTTTATCTGAACATACTAAGAAGGTTAGGTTAGGTTGGTGTGCGGTCTGTCCCCGTGCCCATGACGTTCGGTAGTTTGCTGCGCTAGCTGCTATCTTCGGTAACATGTTTGAGGCTGACATTCGGGCGCGGGGTATTTGGTGGTCGGACAGGGGTCTTGGCCGCTCGTTTCCTTGTCACTGTTACTGGGCCTGGTCGGGTCTGTGTCGCGTTGGGCCAGCGGTTACAGTCAGTTGTCTTGACTTCGAGTTGAGGAGAGAGTGCTGACTGCCTCCTGGTTAGGTCCCTCTTGTGTTTGTCTTTGGGTAAGTAGCTCCGGGGAGCCGAAGGGGCTGCCCCCAGAAAACCAGCGTTGAATGTAATAAAACTCCATTTTCTGGGTGAGACTGGGAGGCTTCCCCGGCAACCTCCCTCCCTCTGGTTGGCGTTTTTTTCGCGGTTTATGACATCCAGTCTCTGCACTGGGGTGTGGATAGCCGGCTTGAGGGTTTGGGGTCCTGAGGACCTCAGGGTTTCCCCCTTCCCCCTCCCGGGGAGTGGGAAGGGGGAACAGTGGCGCAGTGACGTGGTGACAACAGGCTCGTTTGCTCATTTTCATTTCAGGAGTTCTACCCATTAGTTCGGCTTTCAGTAGTAATTTCTTAACCAGAATAGAGGCTGGTTTTGGGTCGCTTACCTTTCTGGGTGCCTGACCGGGTCGATGGCAGACATAGAATGCTTCCAACCAATCGGGGGTTTCTATAGACCATTGCTCCTCGTGCCTCTTCTGAGGAGGCCAGGTTCTGGCTCGTGGTTCCTGGTAGTCCTAAAATTCCATTCACATTGATGCCAAAGTCTAATATATCCATATCAGCCTGGATAGCTCAGGGGAATCTCCAGGTCTCACCCAGAAAATAATGTTTCATTGCATTCAATGCTTAGCTTCCGAACTGAGGTTGGACAGCGGACGCGGTGTGTCCGGGGCTCCCATGTCCCCCTCCCAGGGGGAAGGGAGGCTGCACAGACAAGCAGCGCGGTGGCGTGGTGTGACGTTTGCTTGTTTCCTTGGGAATTGAGGGAGTTCTGCCTCTCTGTTCGGTTTTTGGTTGCAATTATCTTATGTGGGGTCTATTTTGTTATCCCTGCCTTTCTGGGTGCCTAATCCTGGTCGATGGTAGATAAGGAAAAACCCCAACCACGGGGGAGTTTTACAGGGCCATTGCTCCCTGTGCCTCTCCGAGAGGGGCCAGGTTCTGGCTTGTGGTCCCCGGTAGCCTGAACTCCATTGACTAAAGCCCCGGTCTAATGTATTGCATATTAGCCCGATAGCTCCAGGGAGCCGAAGGGGTTCACCCAGAAAATGGCGTTTCATTGCATTCAGTGCTGGTTTTATTACAGAAAAGTATTACATTTGGGAACAAAGGAATCAATGCAGAAATTTCTGTACAGTATATGCTCATTTATTTTTCACGGGTGTAAATTCTTGCTAGTTAAGACACTGTTGGTTGAAGGTAAAAGTTGTAAGACATGCCAATACCCATAATATTTATGTACTGAGTAAGAAACTATTTTTGTCAAGTGATCAGTGCTTTAGTTAACTTAAAATTACAAAAGAAAAACAATAAATGTTTAGTTTTGAATAATAAAAAATATTTGAAGTGAATGCTATTAATGTTAGCATTATTTCATGCTTGTAGAGGATGAAAGATGGTCATTACTATGGAGGCAAATCTGTATT